ACCCCCCCCCCCCCCCCCCCCCCCCACACACACAGGCACAGACAAACGTACCAAAAAGGGCAAGGCAAAGCAAGGCGTGTGAGTGGGCTGTGCTGTGCACCTGAGGGATGTCGCCATCCACCAGCACGCCGATCTCAATCGAGCTGCTCTCGTCGCTCATGGCGTCAGTGTCGCTCCAGCAGAGGATGCCGGCCAGCACGTAGTTAGTCCAGTGCGGCCCACTCGCAAACTCCCCCGACCAGTCCAGCGGCACTCCCGTGTGTTTGTGTTTGGTGATGCGGCGGGCGGGGTGGCCACCCTGCTCGCCGTCCGCGTGGGCGATGGTGATGTCCACCATGGCTGCTGCTGCACCTGCGTCATCGTTGTCTTCCCGCCTCAGGCTGCTGTTTGCGTGTGTGTCGATGGACGTAGCGACCCTGACGGTGTGGTTGGTGGCGATGGGCAGCACGCTGTACCCATTGTAATCTGCAGGCAGGAAGCAAGCAGTGGATCGCATGACACAACGTGCCCTTTGCAGTGCCTGTCTACCGATGTGCTCTCCAATCAGGTTCACCCTGAACATGAACAAAATCAGCAGAGCAGAGCAGAGAGAGATACGGCTGCCTGCATGTGTTGTGTTCAGCGCCCTCTTGAATCAATGTGTACCTTCCTGGAGCCAGAGCGATGCAGTGAGGCTGACGCCCATGGATCTCGACGAACCTCTTGCCAATCCTCAAGACGCCGTCCTCCTGACCTGCCGGCATCGTGCAGCTACCTCTTTCCCCCCCTTCTGCCCTCCTGCCGATCTTTTGCGAGCTAAGCATACAGATTTTGCTTGTCTTTCCTTCCCGCATGAACCGCAGTTGATGTCGAGCAGCCTGTTTGTGTGGAGATGAAGCATCAGCATCTTAAGCTGTGGCAGCGGACGGCTCTGCTTTTTTGCGGCCTTCTGCTGCTGCTCGCCACAGCATGTGTCACGGAGGCCGCACAGGCGAGAGGCGCCGACAGCAACACGAGCAACGTGACGGCAGGGCCAGAGGAGGGAGATCGGCAGCACGCCGGCGACACAGATCTTGATCAGCAGCAGCAGTTGCGGCAAGTGCCCGTGAGCTCCTCCGACCACCCGGCCTCTGTGGAGTCGGTGGAGCCGTCATGGGTCGACATGCTGACCTATCTGCTGGAGGAGAAGGGCGGCCGCGACGTCCCGATAGAGGAGACCTTCGACCAGCTGCTGCAGGCCGCGAGACAACTGCTGAGCCGCATCCAGGGGTCACTCGAGACCATCCGGGAGCAGCAGGAGGTGTTTTTCGACTGCCTCAAGGACCTTCTCAACGGGCTGGAGACCACACGGCTTCCCGCTATACTGAAGGAGCTCCTCACCACGCTCAGAGAACAGGCCGCCGGCCCAGTGCTCAACGAGCTCGCGCGGGGCCTCAAGAATGAGACGGTGCTTTCGGCCATCGGCAGGGCGGCGTCGGAGATCTCGCGCAACATCGAGAGCACCTCTGACCTGTCGTCAATGGAGGCCCTGGGCAAGATCACACGCGACGACAAAGTGGTGGCCGCTCTGAAACACCTCAACGCCGTCATCGAGGGCAGCAAGATCGACGTGCAGCTGCTCAAGCTGTTCGAGATCCTCCAGAGCCCCGAGATCTCCGCCTGCCTCAGCCGGCTGTCGGCCGCGCTGAGGTCGCCGGAGGTGCTGGTGCCGCTGCAGCGGCTGTGGGAGTTCCTCTTGGAGGGCACCTCGACCGAGACGGTGCAGTACATCTTTCAGAGCCTGCGGGAGACGGGGCTGCTGGTCAAGCTGGCGCGGCTGGTGGGGGCCGTCTGGGTGGTGCTCGACGGCCTCGTCAAGCAGTTCTCGGGCGCGGTGGCGTCCCCGGCTGTGGTCAACGTGCCGCCATCGCACTATCCCTCTCCCCCCTCTCAGGCACCACCACCACCAGCGCCATCACCGTCACCGTCACCCATACAGACGACCAGCAGCACAACCACCACCACCAGCACCACCACCACCGCCACGACCCTTCCCCCCGAGAGCTTCGAGGCCGATGAGGAGATGCCGATCGATGACACTAGTGACGAGAGTGACGACTCCAGCGGCGGGGCTGAGTCGAGCCTCGACGCGTCCTCCGGATTCATCACCATGCCGGCAAGGCTGAGGCGGGCCTCAGCGGGGCCGCACCGTGAGCATCATGATGCGTACGCACATGCACAGCCACGGAGGTCGCCACAAGCGCTGAGGAGGACCAGGGCGGTCCACCACCCTCTTGCCATGAGTGCGGGGAGCGGCCCCGACCAGCGTCGAGGGACCGGCGGCACGTCATATCTCGAGGCCGACAAGGAGGAGGCCGAGGCGAGTGCTGGAGGTGGTCACGAGGAGGGCAAGGCGGCCCAGCTGACCATCGAGGAGGGGCGGGGCGGGGGCGCCGTCAAAGTCAACAACGACAACCCCGAGTACCAGAGGATGGAAGAGGAGAGGCAGCGACTGCTCATGGAGGTCAGGAGTGCGGTTCGCTGCGGTGGGTGCGCATGACACGAATGACTCTATGTGTGTGTGTGTGGTGCAGGCTCAGCGTCTTCGTCTCGAGGCCGACACCGACGCCAAGAAGCTCGAGGAGGAGGAGAAGCGGGTCGAGGAGGAGCGCGGGCGGCGTGTGGAGGGCGTGATCCAGCGGCTGCGGACCGCCACCGCCCTCGAGTTCCCTGCCATCATCAAAAGCTCACTCGCTGCTGGGGTGAGTGCCTCAAGGACAGACAGAGACAGAGAGCCAGACACGGGCAAACACGACACAAGAGTGAATGAGCCCCTTCGTGTGTCTGTCCAGACGTTGACAGAGGAGGTCTTCCAGTCGCTCGTCGACAAAGCCGACAACGCCAAGACGCCCGAGGTACACACGCACACACACACACACACACACGAGCGCATCTTATCCATCCATCCATCCATCCATGTGTTCATTTGTTCATCAGGAGAAGGAGGAGCTGACCTTTTTGTCCGAGACGGCACTGCGTCTGGTGGAGGAGAACGACCCCAAGCTGGCGCAGAAGATCCAGCGGTCGCTGCTCAAGGTGCGGCTGGGGGTGGACCCCGACCTCAAGGAGGAGCTCGACAAACTCAACGAGCCCCTTTCCACCAGTGGCTCGCCCACTAGCCTCAAAAAGGGAGTTGACGAGCTCAGGGTGAGTGTGGTGGATGTGTGGGGGTGGGTGGGCCATGGGCGAGTGTGTGTGTTTGGGTGGGTGGGTGTGTGTCGATGACAGGAGATGTTGGAGGGCGCGATGAACATAACGCTGCTCAACGACACTAACGGGGCGGTCGTCAAGATCAACACGAGCATCCCCTTTGTGACAGTGCCTGAGGCCTTCCTGCCCACGTGGTGAGTGAGAGAGGGTCGGTCGGTGGGAAGGAAGGATGCATTGCAAGGATTCCTCCCGTGTCAGTCATTCATGTGTGTGGTTCGTCTCTCTCTCTCTCTCTCTGTGTGTGTGTGTGTGTGTGAATGGCTGGCTGGCAGGTTCCCCATCAGTCTGTCCCGTGACCTCAACACCGAGGTGTCCCGCGACCTCAGCGGATACGACAATGTCCAGCCACTCACCAAGAAGGTATGCACCCCTGACCCCTCCCACAACCACCCACACCCACACCCACGTGTGTGTGTGTGTGTGTGTCGGCGGCAACACACAAATCCTCAGGATTTGAAGATCTTGAAGGAGGAGGTGCTGCTCTTCGACGAGTGGTTCAGTAGCAGCACCGACACCTCCCGCTACGCCGTGCTCTTCAGGGGGTCCTTCAAGGGCGAGCCGAGCCAGATCCAGCAGACCTTCGACCGAATGCTCTCGCGCGTCGAGGCGCACCCCGAGCTCAAGGACAAGGTCACCCTCTTTCTGCTGCCACAGAGGGCGCTGCCCTTTGAAATGATGGAGGTGCGTCACACACACACCCACACACACACCCACACACACAGAGAGAGAGAGAGAGATTTCGTGTGTCATTCGTGTGTGTGTTGTGTGTGTGGTGTGTGTGATGGGCGGTTCGGGTGTGTCAGCAGCTGGAAGACGCGACAATGGACATGATCTTGCGCGGCGAGAACAAGCTCAACGAGCCCTGCATGATTGCCGTCAGCAAGAACCTCCTCTCCCTCGACAAGGGCCAGACCAAGGGCGCGCAGAACAGGGCACTCGTCTTCCAAGCCATACTGCTCGCAGGTATGTCATGTCATGAGCACATCAACACAACACGACACGCCGGCCAAGATCCATCCATCCAGACCCACACACTTCCTCCCTCTCTCTCTCTCTGTGTGGGTGGGTGGGTGGGTGGGTGTGCGGCATATGTGTCGATCAGCGTCGCTGTTCAGTCTGACCTCATTCTCTGTGGCCACCTTTGGCCTCAACGCCGACTTTTGGTCTAGGACACTCGCAGGCACGACAGACACACAACTCACGCACAACACACACGACACAACACACACATATACCTTCTCGCCGTGGGCGGTGCTTGATTTAACTAACGGCCGGCTGTTTGTCTGTCTGTCTGTCTGCCTGCCTGCAGGTGACTACGGCGCCCTGACCGACTGCTTCCCCGAGGTGGGCTTCACCTTCCTGACGCTGCTGGCCCACGAGGTGGGCCACTGGCTCGCCGCCAAGAAGTCTAACACCAAGATCAGCCTCCCATTCTTCATCCCATCCTTACAAACCGGCGCATTCGGAGCGGTCAGTCACACGCACGCACACACACACACACACACAGAGAGAGAGAGAGAGAGAGGGAGAGAGGAAGAGGAGAGGGCACACACCCCATAGGCACACTGAGACGCCTTGTGTGTTGTGTGTTGTGCGCTGTGTGCTGTGTGCTGTGTGTTGTGTGTGTGTGTGTGTGTGTGTAGGTGACTCGTCTGCGTGACTACCCCCGCTCGAAGAAAGACCTGTTCGATCTTGCGATCGCGGGGCCGGCCCTGGGGCTCGCCACCTCGCTCATTTTCTTTGTTGTCGGACTCGCACTCACAAGTAAGCGGCCAGCCTGTCTGCCTGGGGCACAGTCGTGTGCCTGTGAGTGGCATCCACCCATCCTCGTGTATGTGTGTGTGTGTGTGTGTGCAGGTCAGGGGACCAACGAGGCGATAGCGAGCTGGCCCGTGCTGCCCGCCGCCCTCTTCCACAACTCCTTCCTCCTCGGTCTCATTACCGACTTCCTCGACAAGGGGCTTCTCGCAGAGGTAAAGTGGACACATACACATTCCCTCTCCCAATGTGTGTGTGTGTGTCATCTCTCTCTCTCTCTCCCTCTGTGTGTGTGTGTGTGTCAGAAAATCACAACGCCGATGCCCGTGCACCCACTGGTGGTGTCAGGCTTCCTCGGGTCGATCATCAACGCGCTGAACTTCATGCCCATCGGTCGGCTGGACGGCGGCAGGGCAGCCACGTCAGCACTGGCTGCGGGGGCGCCGCTGCTGTCCATCGTCACGCAATTGGCACAGGTATGTGACTTGGGAGGAGGGTGGGGGGCTGTGGTGGGGTGGGTGGGGGGCGGGGATGAGTTATCCGCCGAACGCAATGCTTTGTCTGAGCTGAGAGCCTGAAGATAGCGATATTATCATAGTTACTCTGAGCCATCCATCCATTTCTCCACACCACACACACTCACACACAGACAGTATGTCGACTCACTCACTGGGTGTGATGTGTGTGTGTGTGTGTGCCATGTGTGTCTGCTCTGCAGGCAGCGTCGGGTTTATTCAGCGGCAACGAGCTGCAGCTGTTTTGGGGCATCCTGGTGGTAATATTCCAGAACTCACCAGAGGTGCCGGCCAAGAATGACTTCTCACAAGTAGACAGCGCCAGGTGGGTCACTCAAAGCCCCCAAGCCCCCCCTCAGTCCACACACCCACCGTCCCTCTCCCCCTGTGTGTGTCGTGCTGTGTGTCCATCCATCCTTCCATCCATCCATCTACTTATGCAGGCGGACTCTGTTCTTTGTGGCTCTGTTTATCACGTTGCTGGTCCTGGTGCCCTACCCCGACCAGATCCTCGGCGGGGCGGCCACCGGCGGCATGCAGTCGATGCCTCCAATGGGGCTCCCGGGGCTCGACAAAATCGGGGCATGATTGGGGCGGTGCAATGACGGATGGCTGGGGTGTGTGGGTGGGTGAGTGATGGGTGACAGCCAGCAACGTTTTGAAGTTTTCCGTCCTTTCCCGACCACCGGGCAGACAGCAGCAGACGGGCAGACAAGACATAGAGAGAGGGGCTCTATAGATGGAGGGAGGTGCGACTGACTGACTGAGTTTAATTGAGGTCTAGCTGTCTGAGCGAGTGTGTGTGTGTGTGCATGTAGATTACACCAAACATGCAATGCAGCAGAGAGGCATCAGTGCAGGTAGAGTGAGTGGGTGGGTGTCAGTGGATTTTTATCGTGTGTGGTGGCGGTGGCGGTGGTGGGTGGGTGGGTGGGTGGGTGGTGCGGATGCATGCCTTCTGTCTGTCTTAATGTCTTCCACACGCCGAGGGGTGGGTGTCAGTCAGACCAACCGAGAGGAGAGAGCCAGTGCAGTCGAGTCGATGGATTCCCCTCCGTCCGCGAAACGAAGTCAGTCAGTGAGCCAGCGGGCGAGCGATTTAGTTTTGATAATCTAATCGCAGCCACGCCCTACCAGATGCGTAGCCAGCCCAGCCCGGCCCGGCCGATGGGTGTCTGTCTTGTCTGTCATCGCCTTTGTTCAATGAGGGCCTGGCTGGCTGGGCGGGCGGAGTGGTGGCTGGCTGCTGAGGCTGGTGAAGGGTGGATGGATGTACAGCGGGGCAAAAGATCATTGATAGATGTGTGTGGGGCAGACAGGCAGACAGACAGACCGACCGACGGACGTATGAAGCATATTTTTCTGTAGAACGAACAAACAATGTGTGTGGCTCTGATGCCTGTTTGCCTGGCTATACATATCTATACAGTGTATATGGCACTACTATATGCCGATATCTATCAAGACGCGAGGCAGAAAACTCACCCACCCACCCACCTCGACCCCCTAGCTACTCGCCCACCACCCACCCACCCATCCATCAACAGGAGGACAAGAAACACACAAGGAATCAACGCACCTATGCAAAGCCAAAGCAAGCACCCAACCAAGAAAGCAGCAACTAGAAACAAACACCTGCAGAGTGATATTTGTAGGAACACTGCCTGCGGGTTCCATATGTCGACAAATGAATCATGTTCACATCAATATCTATCTCAGGCAATGTCGCCTGTGCGGGTGGCAGGGGTGTCGCCACGCCCCTCTCCCGCCCCCTCTGCCGCCCCAGCCACAGCGGCAGACGCAGAAGCCCCCCCGCTATCGGTGTTGGTGTTGGTGTTTTGCTCCTCGGCAAGAGCGCCGCATGAGAGGACCTTGAGCACGGGAGACACCTGCCGCCTCTCCTGCTTGCCCTGGTCGAGCGGAAAGAACACATTGAACAGATTGCTGCAGCCAGCGACAAACAGAGAGAGACGGAGAGACAGAGAGAGGAGGACCACGCGCCCATCCACTCTGTGCGTGTGTGTGTTGTCCTGTTTGTGTCTCAAGGATGCTGACAGGTTATTGAGGAGCGAAATGCAGCCGACCACCAACACCGCCAGAGCAACCAAAGACTGCAGCCATCCGTGAAGACACACATGAGAGAGAGACGCACAGCAGACACACAAGGTGTGTCCGCCAAGCCAAGCCAAGGTCAGTCTGCTTACGAAGCTGCCGCGTGGGGAAAACATCTCCTGGACCATGAAGTTGGCGTATTCGATGTGCACCCTCGTGTAGTCGGCGTCCGCCGCCGTGTCGTTCTGATTTATCAGCTGCGAAAAGCGAAAGCTGCACGCACACACAGAGACACCAGAAACACACACGATACCGTCTGTCCGACGTGTGGGTGGGGGAGTGAGTGGGTGGGTGGGTGGGTGGAACACCCACTCGTAAGTGTGGTACTCCTTGTATGGCGTGATGTAGTCACTCCACTTGAGCGACCCCGAGGTAAGGCCTTTCCACAGCTCGATGTCGGTCACTCTGAATGAGGCAAACGGACGGAGGGAGGGAGGGAGGGAGACGTGTGGGCTGGGCTGGGTTTGGGTTGGGGTGGTTGTGTTGTGTTGTGTTGTTCTTCTCCTCCCTCGCGGCCTCCCTCCGCTGCTTACTTGACTTTTCTGAGCTGAACGGGAAAACAGCAGAAAGGGAGAGAGACCTCACACGTGCGACACGCATACCCATGTAGACAGAGACATGGACGGACCTGAATGCCGCCGATGACGTACCGGCCCACCTGTGGGACAAAACACAAACCGCCCGACGTATGTGGTACGTATGGATGTGTGTGTGTGTCAGGGGAGGGGCCCATACGTTTGCGAAGAACCATGAGGGCGACTGCTCAGTCTTGTTCATCTTGGAGTCATACAAACCCACCTTCAGACCGGGGAGAGGCCCGGCCGCTAAACACGCTCACACACACACACACACACAGAGAGAGAGAGAGAGGGGCATACAAGGGGTCATCCATCCGTCTCGCGCATCTCACGGATCTCACGTACGTTGCAGGTTCGTCCTGAGCTCCACGTTGTCGTTGGAAATCTGCCCCTCCTCATTGAAGGTCAGGACGTACTTGAGGGACCTGCTCGAGCCGCTCTTGGGGGGGAAGTAGCCTTGCCACAGGTCCACACAGATGCACGTGGCCCCGCCCACACACACTCCCGCCTTTCTGGCTTCACGCTCGATACCCTGTGTGGCCACACAGACAGACAGACAGACACACAGAGAGAGGAAGGGTTGAGGGCCTGCTTTGGCGGGCTTTGGCCGCCTGCTGGCTGAGTGCCCACCTGCCCTCCTGTGAGAGGGTGATGATTATGTCTCCATCCAGGCCGTTCTTCAGCTTTGTCGGCGATGTGGTGTTGTCCGTGAGCGAGTGCGGATTCCCCAAACTTCATCGCATCGCATGACAGCGAAAGAAACGCAGAGGAGAGAGAGAGAGAGAGAGACACAGACAAAGAAGCCCTCTTCTGAATGGCTGCACGGCTGCGTGTGTAGACATACTTTGAGATGGGACAGATGGCGAAAGACGGTGCTTCCAGAGAGCGATACTGCACGAACCGGGTCTCTAGGTCGAGCCGGCCGCTTTGCAGATAGTAGACGACAAGCGTGATGATACCCCCAAGAATGATGGCCCACCTGAAGAAAGACCACAAACGCAAAAGTGGTGGTGCCCCCCCGTCTACCCCGATGAGAGGAAGAGTCACTCACAGAAGTACCAGCATCACACGCGCACAAAACTCCGCCTTCTTCGCTCTTCGAGAGGCCCCAAACGTGCAGCCTGCAGTGCATCGCAATCGCATGCCAAACACACAATCCCCTCCCGCTCTCTCAATGACGAGTCTCGCATTGCAAAGTTGACTCACTCTGTACGAGCTGTTCGGCGAGTCTTTGCCAGAAGCCACGGGCAGCAGCAGACGCTCTCTCCCCGATGCCGCTCTGCCTCTGCTCAGACCGGCGGCTCCCGGCGGGCAGCAGAGGGGCCTCCAGCCCCTCATCAGGGGGCTCACCCGCAGATTGTGCAGCTGCCGCCGCAGGTGTCGCTGTAGGACGCAATCGCACTTCCTCTTCGTCACCAGACATCTTATCCAATGTTTTGCAAGCTCGCGCGACAAAACGGGTCAACTTAGCCGCTTGTCTTCAGGTGGCGGCCTGCCTATTTCGCCCTGTTGAGTGACGCAACGGGGTAGATCTCTCGCCGGAGAGGGTCGGCTCACACACGTGTGAGGGGCTGTGGGGATCCATTGGCTGCCGAGGAGGCGTCAAGACTGACAGGTGAGGGCTGGGGGAGGGGCGGGCGGGCGGACGAGATGACGATGTGGGCAGGCAGGTGCGTCATGGGAATCTAATCTGCCTCTGTGTGCGCCTGCTCTGTACTGGCCATGGTCTCTCTGTGCACTGTGTGCGTGTCAGGATGGCCTGGAAGTCGTCGAGCAGTGTGGTGTCGGGCGGCAAGGGCAAGGGCAAGGGCAAGAAAGCTGCAGGTGCGTCGTCTTCGGTTTCTGCAAATGACTACGAAGTGAGACAAACAGTCAGACAGGAACACGCACACCACTGCACGCCCCGTGTCTACCATGCTGCTGTGCATCCGGGGGCCACGAGCAGGCTCTCGCAGGTCATCACATTTCTTGCCTCTCCCTGTGGCGTCTGTGCATCAGGCCGCCTCCACTGCGGGTGCTTCATCGACCCGGGCGCCGACCGGCAGTGGTGCTGGCGACGATCTCGACAACATGACCCATGTGGTGAGGAGAACACCACACACGCACAGACGGCTGCCCATGGATAGACCATCCTCCGGTGTGGTGTGGTGTGATGGTGTGTGTCAGGGTGGAGCGACTCAGGTGTCTGGTTCGACGGACGAACAAATGACACTCAGCCGTACGCCATGACACACACGCATGCGCACATGGATGGGGACCAGCACACAAATACTGGGTTGGTGGTGCAGGTCGTCATGGTCAGGGAGGGGCCGGGAGTGTCGCGTCGGGGTCTGTCAGCGAGAGGATGGCGCTCGACGGTAAGGAGGTCTGCACTCACGCTCACCCACGCCACCAAACGGACCACTGTTGGTGGTGTTTTCTTTTGCCGCTGCAGACCGTTTCGCCGCTGCCCGCAGCGAGGTGATGCCCCTCAACGGTATGCCGATGCACACATTCACGGCACAACGCGATCCACTGCATGGGGATGCTATCCGTGTTTGCGCCTGCAGATCGCCTCGGCCGGAAGCGGCAGGCTCGCAATGGTGCTGCTGGTGGCCGTGTGGGTGGCGATCCGTCTGACGATGAGGGCGGCTCGAGCGATGACCAGGGCAGCAGCGATGACGACGACGACGAAAACGACGAGGACTACAACCCGCCCGATGGTCAGCCACACACACACACACACAGAGAGGGAGAAAGAGAGAGAGAGAGAGAGAGAGAGCGTCGAGCACATCTCTGGTGTGCTTTCCTGTTGCAGACAATGATGATGACAACGAGGATGAGGACGATGAGCCCGAGAGCTCGGGTACGCATACACACCCACATGCCCACACACATGCCGATGACACGACGCAGATGCTGCTGCTGTGTGTGCTGGATGTGTGTGTGTGTGTGTGTGTCAGGGAGTGGTGGTGACCATCTGAGCGACTCGACCTTCAAGCAGCCCCAGGCGACCGGCAAGCCGGCACGGCCGGCAACCTCCATCCATCAGTCGACCGTCCGAGGCGTGCGCTTCGACGACAAGAACCAGCGGTGGGTTGCCAATCTCAAGGAGGGCGGCAACTGGACCAAGAAGCACTTCGCCGTGAGCCTGTTTGGCCACGACGAGGCCAAGGCCGAGGCAGAGGAGTGTCGCCTGCAGAACGAGCACAACAACGAGGAGGCTGGCCGTCCCATCAAGAGTCCCAACAAGAGCGACGTCCCGGGTGTGTACCGCGACGACAAGCAAGGCCGTTGGGTCGCGGTATGGCGCGAGAACGGCAAGCAGAAGAAGGATTATTTCTCGGTGGCCAAGTTGGGCGAGGAGGGCGCCAGGCGGGAGGCCATCAAGCGGCGGGAGCTGGTGGAGAAGATCTGGCCGGATCAGCGCAAGGTACGCAAGTGCACGAAATGCAATGTGTGTGGCTCGTCATGCTCATTGGGTCTGTGTGTTCAGTCCCTCTCTGCTCAGACTGCCTGCACTCTCAGTCGCGAGCACAAGAAGCTCATCGACCAGCTGCCCGCCAAGGTCAAGGGCGTCTACTTTCACCGGGTCCCCGGCTACAACGCCTGGATAGCACACTGGAGCGTGGGCGGGAAGCAGCGGTCCAAGAACTTCGCCTTCAGCACACACGACGACATCGAGAAGGCCTACGAGAGGGCCGTCGCGTGCCGCAAGGAGAAGGAGGCGAGCGGTGCGGCGAGCATCCAGCAGCCAGTCGAGAGGCAGAGCGGCCTAACGGGTGTGAGCTGGCGCAAGAAGAGCAAGGCATGGGTGGCCAGCTGGTACAATGTGTCTGGCAAGCAACAGAAGCGCGACTTCCGTGTGTCTGCATATAAGGATGACTGTGAGGCCAAGGCAGCTGCGATTCACTGGCGGGACACGATGGTCGAGCAGACAGAGAGAGAGAAGCAGGACAGGATAGCTGAGCGGGCAGACAGGCAGATGTCACGGAAGCGGCCCGTGGATGCATCCGAGGGCCGCCGCCTGCGACGGAAGAGAGAATAGCCAAGGGGCATCTCAGTCAGTCTGCTGTCGGGCGAAAGGGCTCTGTCGCGTCTGTGCATGTGCGTACATTTTTGGTGGACGATCGACTCAGCGGCTGGTCGATGGGTGGGTGGGTGGGTGGTTTAAGTATGTGGGGCAAGTTTTTGTGTATCGCTTGGGGTCCAGTGGATTTGTGTTGTCATGTGGATGGTGTGGTGTGTGCGTATCGTAGTGCTGACACACATACATACATACAGGGAGGGAGGGAGGGGATTTGCTGCGTTGTCTTTTTTCTTCATATCTTTATGCATGTGACGCTGGCCGTCTGTCCGTCTGACGCACCCCACCCCATCCCACCATGGCAAGCCTGTTTTTGACGCTGCTGGCCTTCCAGTCGACTGTCCAGTGCTGGTGGTGAGTGTGTGTGTGCCGTGCCAACCCATGGTGCAGCAATCAGAAGTACATGCGTGTGGTGATCGATCATGATGAGAGCGTATCTATCTAGCGGCTCATGTGTATGTGTAGGAGGGGGGGCAGACAGAGAGAGGCGGATGCTGTTCTTGTTGCAGCACAGGCAAACACATCACGGGCGACTCACATGGCGCCGAACTTTCGACTCACTCGTGTCTGTCTTGTGTTGTGCTTGCTTCGTGGGCTACTTGTCTGTCGGCTGAGTGTCTTCCCCTCCACACGTCACCACACCTTACCCCTTCTCACCTCACCATGTTGCATCGCTGAGCATACATACAAACAGGGAGGGAGGGAGGGAGGAGCATGGTGTGTTGTCTTTCTTCCTTCGATCTGTATGCATGTGACGCTGGCCGCCTGTGCCTCTGACGCACCCCACCATGCCCAGCCTGCTTGGGTCCGAGTCGACTGTGCAGTGGTGGTGGTGAGCATGTACTTGTCTACCTGCGCGTGGCGTGCCAATCGGCGGCGCATACGATCATAGAGTCGCAATCGATCATGGCGTGCCTTTCTGCTATCTGTGCGGCGTGCGTGCGTGCTGCTTGTCTGTCTGTCTGTCTGTCTGCCTGTCTGATCGCGGCACAAGGGACGGAGAGCGAGGCACCGACTACTCTTTCAGTGTGTGTGTACGTGTGTATGTGTGTGAGTGAGACCCACGTGCACATGTGTCTTTTGCAGTCAGGGCGGGTGGGTGTACGTACGTTCGTACTTTTCATATATACGTCTGTCTGCTCTCCTGTGTGTGTCAGAGCGCTTCCCTTCGTAGCCATTCATACGCTATATGGTTCTCTCCTCCTTGTCAGTAGGCTATAGAGATATGACGTCGAAATGGCATGTCTGTTGAGAAGCCGATTACACGTGCTGCATACACACACGTACACACATGAGGGCAATTTTCTGTGTGTGGTGGGCGGCATGGTGGGTTTGTATCACGGTGTGTGGTGCGGTGTGGCCATGGTGTTGTGTGGCGAACACAGAGAGACGTCGTGAGCAGCGCGACTTTGTCTGTCTGTCTGTCTGTCTGTCTGCTTGGCTGTTTGTGTGCATGGTGGCATTTTTCCCGCTTTGCAAGGCATCTACCGAGTGAGTGGCGAATCCACACATTGACACATGAGTGGGGCGGGCTGCAATGCGTGTGATGCGTGTGTGTGGTTTGGTATGTGCCCGCTTTCACACGCACAATTCAGTCAAAGCCACCGTATGCGTGTTTCGATCTGTGCGCGTACGTGAGATGAACGGGTGGACGATGGGTTCATTCAACCGAAAAAGCTGATCAGTCTATGCAGGTCTATCTAGCGCATCAACCACATAAATAAAGGCACACGTGCAGCCATCAACCACATGGCAAAATGCACGCCACGCCGCCCACGCCCTCTCTCTACCTGTCTACGTCCGCATGGCGGCGTCTGTGGTGACAGTGTGTTCGATGACGGCCGACTGGCTGTGTGGGATGCACTGGTAGTAAGCCGTGGTCGTGTCACTGTCGAAGGCCACCACGTTGACAAAGGGGATCCGCTCCTTCAGAATGCTCTTCATCACCTCTTGAGCTGGCACACATGACACACAGCCATGACACATCCATGAGTCCGTTGCCTAAATGACCACCTTGCTTGATGTGTGCACTCACCTACGAGCCCGCCAACCACTGCGGCCACGCTGATGAGAGGAATGCCAAACGCACGATACACACGCCTGACAGACAACGGGAAACAAGGCACACACACCACACACATCCGGGTGATCAAATCACGGGCATCCATCTCTCGTCCCGCGACACTGCATTTGCTCACCGCAGGAGGTCATCGTCAACGTCCTTGCCACCCTCCTGCACTCACACACAGAAAGAACCGACGGACGCAGTCCAGTGATCGACCAAGCTACGGGGCCTCACCTCCCGCAGCGTCTCTTTCGCAAAGGCCACGAAATTGTCACACTCGGCGACCCTTGTCGACGCGTTGCCAATCTCGCCTCGCTGCATGAACACCACAGAGGGCAACCAGAAGGTGGGTGAACAGATCTTTTGAAAGTGCGTCTGTTAGTCGAACTAGGCATCCCACGGACCTCTCTGTTGTGTGTGCCGTGGGTGGCTTGCCAACGCGCCAGGACTAGACACACCACGCAAGCAGCACATGCATAGGATGGAACTCAAAGGGCGGACATACGCAGATAGGCGGGGAAGAGGGACGAGCTTCGACGCTTCAGCGAGCCCTGACGACACACAGAGAGAAGAGGAGAGAGGCAGGGAGTCCACTCACTACGCTGAGGGTTCGGACCTGACACATGTGCTACCGACGTACTACCGACGTACCAGTTTGCACTTGATGGTGTGGGCAATGGGTGGGAAGTTGGCTGTGGCCGTGTTGGTCTTGTCGGTCTTCTTGGGTTTCTCTGACTCGTCGAAGGTCGTCACCTTCTCACTGCATCAAGTACACACACGCGCAAGGGTGCGCTCCGCTCTCTAATGGATGTTTGTTGCGTGTGGCGGTGCGTGTGTACATGAAGAGGGTCTTGAGATCGAACACGAAGAAGGCCAGCTTGCCGCAGCACAGCGTGGCAAAGAAACCCTGACACAAGGCAAGGACACGCACCATCAATGGTCTCTGCCTCGACTGGCCGTGTAGTGTATGCACCTTGTCGAACTGCCGACATGCCTCATCTAGCGGCACCTGACCACCCAATGACAGAGAGAGCGAATCGATGGTAGCGGCGGATTGTCGACCAGTGAGTGAGGCTGACTGACCAGCGCCTGCAGTGCAACCAGCTCGTTGGCGACACACACGATGGTGTAGGGCTCGAGGAACTTCTGCCAGTCGACCGCCGGCCCGTCCTCAAACAGACACCACGGAGAATCATCGCAGCCTGCACCTGCACGCAAATAAGCCGGCGGAATGCGATGGATACGCGTGTGTGTAGCGAGTGCGTGCGTACCTCGATAGAGGGCCACGGTGCTCAGCGGGTTGAGCTCCTGCAGCCGCGGCTGCGATGCCACGTCCAACTGTCAGTCAGAGTACCCGATAGTGAGCGCTTCGTCCATCTTGACCACATGCACGTGGTGCCCACCTACCCTTTTCTGCTGGTTGATGTCGTCTTGGCGCAGGAAGTAATTGTAGCCCAGGTCTTCTTCCTGAGCGGCACGGTTGTCCCACAGAGTCACCTTGACGCCTAAATGCGGCACACGGCAGCAGGCAGCCAGGCAGGCAGGCAGGCAGGCAGGCAAGCACTTAATCGGGTATGTGTCGTCACGTGCAATCTGGTCAGTGCGGGTGGTACCTGCGAGTATGAGGTTCTTGCATGCTTCGAGATTGACGGCCGTCAAGCCTATCACCAACAGATGGGACTCCTTGATCCTTATATAGACAACACAAACACAGCAGAGCACCGACAGACTGTTAACTGAGTGCCAATCGTGCGGATGAGTGAAGTGGCACCTCTGCTGGCCTCCAACACCCCATAACCGGAGCTGTCGGTCGTAGATCTTGGTCTCGTGCTCCGACAACGCCATTCCGGATGCGTGGAGCGACGAAGAGTTATCCAACTTGCTTTTTTCCGCTTGGTATCGAGGATGTGCTGAAGCAGCTTCCTCAGAGCCGCTGGGGAGGAGGGAACAGGCCAGTTTCGTCGAGAGGAAGGCGATCGACCTCTGATCGACCTTGGTGGCGAAGCAGAAGAAGGGGAAATCACAGCGAGCAAATGCGCTCGCCTTGCTTGGCTGCTTGTCACGATGAAAGAAGAACGACTTGGTGCGGCGCCGAGCCCATTTGATTGCTTCTGCTGACGACGGTGTGACGAATGGAGCACATCTTATCACGTTTGATACTCTCTTATGCGTCACGGTACCTTCACCGAGACTTCACCACCGACAAAATCTCACTGTAAGCTTCAATCGCACACAATGAGAGACGGACACGGGACCGGTGGGTGTTCTGGCGGCTGCTGTTTGTGCAGATGGGAGGGCAACATCGTCCTCAATCAGTTGGAGCTGAAGCTCGACGTGCTTGCCGATGCAATCGGTGTGCCGCCCTACCTTGAGTGAGTCAGCACAGTCACACCCGGTCACTTGATGGTGATTGTCTGGTGATTGTCTGGTGTTTGATTGCTTGATTGGGTCAGGCTGGCTCGGGGAGTCATCAGGGAGCTGCGGATCAGCATTCCCTGGAACGCCATCCGCGCAGAGAGCGTCAAGATCTCGTTCGACCTCATTGAGATCGTCGTCACACGGCGGAAGGAGCCCCTGCAGCAAGAGAGGAAAGAACGCAAAGTCGAGAACATCACTCCTGTGAAAGCTCCGCCAGGTAGTCAAGAGGCAGGCGTGACGCCGTCTACTTAACTCCCTCGTATGTTCGTCATTGCTTGAGTGCAGACACCTCGAGCGCTGCTGCGAAGGAGAAGGGTGTGGGATCTGGCAAGGGCCGCGGCAAAAAAGGCTGGCTGCGGCCGCTGCTGACGGCTGTGGTAGCTAATGCTGTGGTGGAGGTGAAGAACCTGGTCATCCGCTACGTGCAGGACGAGGTGGTCGCATCACTCACAGTTGGAGGTGAGTGGAGGTGAGCGAGCGAGATCGAGGACGGAGGGCACTAGAGAAATATCAGGCTGCCTGATGTCGTGTCCGTTGTTTAGAGCTCAAGTGGTATCCAACGAGCCCTGCCCCGGAGTGGAAGAGGGGCTTCACGTTCCCGCAAGGGCCGCAACAAGTCATGCACAGAGGTACGTACACAGGTGCACGCCGGCCGACCAAGCTTGGGAAGCAGTGAGCGTTTGTGAAAGGTTTGCTGTTGCAGTGTTGGAGATAACGGACCTCAGCATCTCTCTCGACCCGCGATCGAAGCCCGAACGAGGAGGTGCCAACGAGCCTCCGACACGGCCGCCGCCCTCCCAGTCAGGCGCAGCTTCTCCTCCGTCAGCGGCGTTGCCCTCCTTGTCATCTCAGTCATCTTTTCTGTCAGTGGTCAGCGCTCCGCCAAAGCCGCTGGCCCCTCCCGCAACTACAGGTTTTCAGCCGCTGCCGGCTCAGCGGATGGTGGGCTTGCCTGGTGCATCGAGACCCAGAAAGGCGAGAGCGAGGGCTGAGAGACCCATCCTGCACAGGTGGAGATTCAGAGTATCGACGGCATTTCCCTTGACGCCGGTCGACCCTGAGCTGCAGGACGCCAACGTGCAGGCATCTGTGCAGCCAAGTGAGTGGGAGCCATATGAAGCTGTCACCTGCTCCTGTCGCCATGGTCTGCTTTAGAGTTCTCGACGGAGCCCTTCAATATTGCGGCGGAGATGGTGAGCGAGTCAACAGAGGGCTCTCCGTCCGTTGCTGGATTGATATGTGTCTGCATTGCAAATATGTTTTATGTCAGGCAGAAATGCGGCTGCGGTTGAGCGACACCCAAGTGCGGAGCGTCTTACGGATCCTTAGGCAGCCCACTGTTTTGCCCAAGGCCCTTAGTGAGCCCCATGGTAAGCACCATATCCCACCACCGGTTGTCTGAATAACATCATCGCGATGGTCTTGCCTGCAGGGGTTCCTGAGAGCCGCCTGTCGGTCGCTTCGTCTGACCAGGAGTCGCCAGCGACGCCTGCCCTCCCCCGTGTGACCTCAGAACCACTGCCGCAAGCCAGAAGCAGTCTGGGTGTGTCTTCTCGGCTGAACCCCTTCTCCTGGGGCAAGACAAGACAAGAAGAGGTGACGGTGGCCGTCGAGCGGTCCCCTCCTAGCACGGAGGAGCCAGAGGGCGGCCACGCCGATGACTCCTCGAAGGAGAATGAGCAGAAGGCGGCGAGAGGCAGGACCTGGTGGGAGTGGCTGGTTGGGGATGAGAGTGAAGCGGAGAACGAGCCAGATAATGACGTTGTGCGCCAAGATGACGTACCGTTGGCAATGAATGACGAGGCCATGTCCAGCGTCGCATCAACTGCAGATACCAGCCAGGCAGCGGCTGACTTGGATGAGTTCGACGAGACCCACCTGCTTGAGGAGCTGGCGTCACTCAAACGGTCATCATCCGACATCCGCATCTCTTTCACGCTGCCGGAGGTCAGCGTCGCGGTCGAGCATTACATCATCAGCAAGCGACGCCAGCGGTTCCAGCCAGCGTCGGGTGCCTCTTACTCGCTCATCACCGACGCCATTCCCGAGGGAGGCGAGCCATCCGAGGGCAGCGCAACAGGACAGGGCGAGGAGCCAACAGCTGCCAACGTCAGCCCCGCCGTCCTCAGCCCTCTATTGACACACCGACAGATCGACGACGTGCCCGTGGATGCCGGCGAGGCGTTTCATCGTGCCTCGTCATTGCCCATCATACCACCCCTTACCGCTGAACAAGCCCGAGCCGTGAGCGTGGAGAGCGTCAGCCGCCCGATGCCCTCTCAGCCCGCGCCGCGATCGCCTGAGGACACAGACAGAAGGCCCAGGCCGACGCACTTGTCGGAGAGGATGGATGTTAGCGGCCGCTCACTGTCTGCCGAAGGGGGCGCCACGCTGGCCAGTGCGGTATCAGTTGTTTGCGAGGACATTGTCTGCAACGTGCGGATGCCTCCACCATTTGCAGGTCAGAACGAGTGAACCAAGTGGGGCAGTCGATCGATGAATTGTTCTTTCTGTTTTTGTCTTCTGTGGTCAGGTGTGCATGAGGTGGCGTTGGAGGTCGGCCGGATGTACGGCACTGAGTTCACCGCTGAGCGGCGGCAAACACTCGTTGTCCCCGTCGCCCAGCGCGCCACCAGTGAAAGGAACAGCGAGAGGGTCATTTTCACTGCAGGACTGCCATTCACGAAGCAGCCAACGGAGGGCGCGGCTGACTCTGCAGTAGACAAGCGGAAGGCTCTTCGAATGGGTGAGGGAGATTCACACACGCCTCCAACACTGATGGATGATGACTGTGTGCCGGTGGCTCGTTTGTTCATCAGGCGTCTTGATGCTGACCGATGAGAGGCTGAAGATTGCGCGGGCAAGGAAGACAAGGACGCCCTACAAGGTACGCGAATACGAAAGGAAGCAGCCGTCATGGACAAGTGTTCTGCTTGTGCTTCGCTGCAGCCTTCGAGGATTCAGTCGGTGGCCGACTCGACGACCCGTCGTCTGAGCATCCAGGTGAGTGCTTAAATACCGCTGCTTGGTTGCTTGATTCATTCATTCGTTCATTACATGATTGATTTATTCGTTGTTGACACTCTCTGGGTGTCTTTGTCCATCAGGTCGGAGCTGTCGGTGCCCATGTGACACAGTCTGTGATCCGCTTCTCGCGCTACCTCACGTCCCGCGGTGGGTCTGACGTGACGGATAAGCACCATCGGGAGGAGGCCGAGACGTTGCACGAGCATGAGAGCGACAAGAGCCCGCATGGAGCAGCAATGGGTGACTCCCTGCCCAGGGCAGTGGAGGGCGGCAGGGAAACAGAGGAGGTCGCCAGCACGTGGGACACGTCGATTGACACGAGTGACACTCGACTGCGGTGGGAGCTGCCTCCGACGGCTGACATTTTTGGCGGTAAAGCGTGAAAGAAACATATGCTGTTCTGCAAGACGCATCGTTGTGGCTTCGGATGTGAAATCAGGTGTCGATGAAGACACGCACGTTCTCACACTCGACATACAGCCGACACGGTGTGCGAGGGCGTGACCAAATCCGTACAACCATCGTTAGTCTAGCTGCATCTGTGTGCGCGCATGCAGGTTCTCTATGCAGACTCTGCCCGTTCTGACGGAGACAGGACTGCTTCCAACGCTCTTGACGGACATCTCTGTGTTCGTGCCAGCCTTGGGTACACCGAGCGCCGTTGCGGTCAATGTGTCAGCCGCGATGAACGGCCAATCCGGTGAAGAAGCGCATGCCCCGTTCCAAGAGGCGATGGACTCCACGACGGCTGCCACACTTCTGCGGGAGGGGGCATCCGCGGGGCTGAACGTCGGAGTGGCGTGCCAGGAGGTCCGCGTTGGCGCAATGATGGGCCAAGTGGCGATCAGGAGAGAGAGGGACGGAGAGGAAAGCGATCGGTCGGGCGTGCTGCACTTGGCACCTTCATTCTCCTACTACAGACAGGCGTGTAGATAAAAGGGGACTTGGGCTCGCGCTGGCGTCACTCTCTGTCTCTGTTCGTTGCAGTTTGAGGATCGCCTGGCCCAACCGATGGTGACTTCAACGGAGGACGTTGAGGAAGAGGGTGTCCCGCCAGTCCGAAGCCGCGAGATTCATGTCGTGGTCCCATCGTGCAAGTCACGGATATCGGCCCGCGAGCTCAAAGAGATCCTTGGCCTCGTCGAGAGCGTCAGAAATCCAAGACCCATGCGGCCGCAGGCGATTGTCTCACCAGCCGCTCTGCCGAGGAAGTTCGAGCCGGCTTCGAGGCGGTTTCGGGAGCTGACCGTATCAACAGCCGGCACCGCCCTGTCAACCCATGCGGAGGTTGACTCTGAGTTGGAGTCGTCTGCAGGCTCTAGCGACCGACGGTCGGCTTCTTCGCATGTGGAACTCGTGCTGGAGTCGATTGCACTGCATGGGCAGTCTGTCAGCTATGTGCTCCCCGAGGACATGTGTCGCTTGCCTGAGGAAGAGCCCGCTGGCAAGGGGCTGCCGTCTCCAGCAGGTGGAAAACTGGGCGATCCATCCGCCGCGACGGAGTCCAACAAGCGGCTGCTGTCCCACGAAGGGAGGGCCTTCGCATGGCCATTCAGCGAGCTCTTTGTTGACGAGGAAGAGAAAGGCGCAGCACATGGGTCACCACAGCCGGTCGTCTTCAGCAGCTCGTCGACGGCACCGAAGCCCGAGGTCACGACGGTTGTGCTTGCTCTCGACGTCAGGCACTGTCAAGCTTTTCTGCATCTGTCAAGCGACGCCAGGATACCTGTCTTCGAGGCCCGCGAGGAGCGGCCGATGTTCACCAGTTTGTTGCAACTTGCCTTTCGCAGTTGTGAGGGTCAGCCGGTGGACGATGCATCGATCGAGGACTCCGTCTGCCCATCACGGGGCCCTTCACTATCCCAATCCCTGCCTTACCTGTCGGGCCTGACGCTTCTGCATCTGCCGCCCAAGCTACGGCTGCCGGCCGACGTCCAGCGCAGCCTGCCTGGGATCTTGACGAAGCGAGTCGCCTTCTGGCGGTCCTTTCGCTACCCACTTGCACACCTGGCTCTGGCCCCAACCTCGCTTCACCTGACCCCGCAAGTCTTCAGCTCTGGTGTTGCCATGGTGTCGGCGTGGAAGTCCCCCAACAGGTCTCTGTCTGCAACTGGGGGAGCACGCCATGATCATCATCTTTTCCGGCATTCGATGCCCGTGCATCGCGGTGTTCCTTCCGATCCTGGTCAACGCGATGAAAGAGCTGTACTCAGCCCATCTCGATCGAAGGCACATCACTCCTTGGGCGGCTCGCCGGCGCTGGATGCTCATTCAGATGACGAGAGGCGGTCAGCACTGTCAGAAGACACTGGCTCTGAGGAAGATGAAGTGGGCTTGCCATCTGGAGGTGGAAGATTCGACCTCCGAGGACAGCAGTGTGATTCAGCCGGGCAAAGTGCGCCTTCGCCCGTGACGTACGTCCTGCCGCGGGCAATGCTGGACCAGCCGTGGGATGTGCAGATCGACCCGATGCTCGTGTACATATCAGAGCCTGACAAGACGGTGGAGTACCGGCAGCTCGCTGAGGCAGCCATGCCCTCCATTGATTGGAAGGGAGAGGCAGCCGCGCTCAAGGGATTCGATGTCACCATCGTCGAGTCGGATGCGGCTCAAGACGTCTTCAAGCGGCATACTTGCCTGTCTGTCTGCGAGGTCTCGATCGTCAGCAACGTCATCGGCATCGGCGAGAGTGTTTCGAACCCGTTGGTGGCCCGGACGCCCTCTCGACACACCTCGAGGCCGACGCCGCCTCCGTCCGTCCGCATTGAGGTCGATGCAGCGCCAGTGACCGCACGAGTCCACGCCAGCGACTACGCGAGGCTCTGCAGCTGGACCAGGGCGGTATCAGGGGCCGTTGCGGCAGCGACGAAAGGTCACGATGCTTTGCAGCCTGCGAGGCCAGATGCTGTCATTCCCAGGAGTCCCCTGGTGCACGTGCAGCATGGCAGTCAGCATCCTCCCCTACTTCCCGAGGGCGTGTTACGCCATTGGGACGGCGAGAGCGGGCAGCAGACCACTGTGGACAGCACGACAAGAGTCTTGCCTGGCAAGGCCCACGTGACACCAGGTCTCCACAACTACGCCTGGGACAAGAAGCGTCAGGCCTCCCCCACGCCCCCACTCATCTCTGGCATCGCGCTGCACTTCGGCCTCAGCTTTGACGCAGAGTTCTTCTCCCCCACCAGCGCACCAGACACCCACGCAGAGGGAGCAACGACTGGTTACACACTGAGTGCCAAGGTCCCCGCCTTCTTCGGTGCATATCGGTGGACATCCGGTGCAACGGGTCGGAAGCCGACTTGGCAGCGCAGGGGTGGTCGTGCTTGGCAGCAGAAGAATATGCAGCTCAGGGTTGGGAAGCCCGCTGTCACCATCACATCCGTGGACATTCCCCGCAGCCGCGAGCCCGTCATGCGATCGAGTGCCGTGGACGTCGTGGAGTGGGCGGAAGAGGAGGTGCTTGGCGAGCTCGCGACCCCGGGAACCACGCCCACCCAGGCAGACAGAACCCCCGACCACCCAGCTTCGGACGAGCCTCAGCGGTGGTGGCTTGCTCTCAATGGGACCGGTCGTGTGGTGCCAGCGGGCGACAAGAGTACTCAGCCAGATGAAGGGGAGGTGCCGGGCACCGTGAAGTGGTCGTGGTCGCTGCAGACACTTCCCTTGGGCGTGTGCTTCTGTGCGCTGGAGCTCTGCACGTGGCTCGCAGCCTTTCTGTCGGCCCACGGTCATGGCCAGGGGAGCAAGGAGTCCAAGTCCACCCTGCAAAGCGCCGTGGACCAGAGCAACGACACGTCATCTACTGTGTCAGTCAGCTGCGGAGCGGTCACCCTTCGCATCCCCTTTCGCTACATGCAGACCTCTCATCCGTCCTTTAGCGACTTCCTCAAGCAGCAGGGCAGCTCCGACGTGGCGCATCTGTCGGTCAGCTTCTCGAACGCAATGTGGCAGACTGTCCCACAGCTGTCCGGCACAGATGAGTCTTGTGCCAAGGGAGGGCTGTGTCTGTCGGCGTCCCTGTTCGGCACAGGGGGATGCAGAGAGGCTGAAGATCTCATCCCCCCGACGGCTGTGGATGCGTCACAAGACGCATCTGGGACCGTCGTCACGGTGGGACAGATAGCTGTGGACCTGCGGGACGAGATCCACATCTATCATGTTCTCAGCTGCATCCACGAGATCCTCTCGTGCCTCGCCATCCTCCCAAGCAGCAGCGGCAGCCGGTCGGGACACTCTGCAGGAGAAGTGGACGCTGCGTCATCTTTGTCTCTGGTGTTCGAGTCACTGACACTTCTGCTACCCAGCCCCACACACTTGTCACCTACCTCGGCAGCGCTGCCGGAACGCCACACGAGCGTCCATGGGACCCGCATGTGCTTTCGAAAGGAGTCGCGGCCGTCCAGGAGAGATCTGCTGTCAGTGTCGGCAGCTCAGCTCGATGCAAAGCTGGGAGATACGCAGGTCTTCAGCGTCATGCAGCGGCAAACACAGAGCGACGCCGAAGGGGAGCTGGCAGCCGCCCTTCTAGTCGAGGCAGATGGAGAGAAAGGTGGCGTGTGTGTTCGCGTTGACCGCGTGAGGGGTACGAGCATCTGGGGTCGGCTCTTCGATGATATCTTTTCCTTCCTCTTCCCTGATGTTTGGAAGGCTCTATCCCCTTCCAAACGGAGACCACTGGATGAAGGTGTTGAGATAGCAGCAGCAGTCGTCACGGAGCCGATGGAGGGCGAGGCTGCTCCAACGGTGATCACCGTCACGTTCAACTCAGCCGAGCTCACTCTTGCGCCCTCGAAAGACGACCCGCGGCGGCTCATCGGATGGGCTGAGGATCTATCGGCGCACTACTCTACGTATGAAGTGACGCCGCCAACCCACTGCTTCAGAGGGCTCCTGGGTGCCCTGGAATTATACAGCTGCTCGACTGACAGCAGCGGCTTCCGGTTCAGAGTCGACCAGTCGCCACCAGCAGGACTGATCCTTGATGACGTGATCGTGCCCCTGAGACGCTCGAACATCAACCTGTCAGCTGGTGCTGTTGCCGTCGCCTGTCTAGAGCCCCATTCTGAGCCGTCCTCATTGCTGTCCCCATGCGAAGCGCAGCTTCGGGTTGCCATTCTGTCTGGTGCATCACGTCCACTGCCTGGCACCGGTGGCTGCCACACCCCGGCTCTGTCGGTCACAGAGGTCCATGTGTCCTTGTCCGAAGTCCACAGCGTCGCCAACCTGTCCAAGCTGAGGCTAGTCATGGACGTCTTTGCGGCGAAAGAGAACGAGAACGCCACTGCTCCGACCTGCATCGCCACTTCACGTGCAAGCACGGGTGGTCTGGCCGAGACTCAGCAACGACAGGAGGGCCATCATTTGTCTGATGAGGGCTGGTCCTGTCAGGACATCTATGCTGTTGTGGTCCCTTACAGCCTCTCGGTGCCTGGCCAGTCTGCGCGGAACGGGAGCCGGCGGGGGACCTCGGCGACGGCCGACCTGCAGCGGTCCATCCGCCTCACCCCGATCGGAGCAGCGTTCGACCCTCAGCAGAGTGAGTTCACCATCGGCCTTGAGCCCCTGCAGACAACTTACCCCTGCTTTCGGCCGGACCCTGAAGCGTCGGAGGAGTCGAAGTCGCCGGGCTACTGGAGCTGCGTCGTCTGCCTTGATCGCTTCGTCCACCTCGCCAGACTTGGTGTGACGGTCACGTCTGCCTCCACGCCCTCCATTGAAACGCCATCCCGATACGACGCTGTCAGCCCGACCCCTTGGAGCCCTGGGCCTGACACCGACTCATCGGAGCCGCCATCGGCTGGCGTTTCTCCCGTCCCGCATCAGCTTGATGCATGGAACGACACTTCGTTCAAGATGCAGACGGCTGGGACGGCACCAGCAACGGAGAAGATGGCCGACGAGGGCGCGGCAACCGCGTCTGAGAAGTCGCGGGACAGCGCACGGCGGCGTTCATCCCGTCCAAGCTTCCACCCGAGTGTGCTTGCGATTCCGGAGAGAGCGGTGTCGGTGCGCGCGCTTGATGAGGCCACAGGGACTTTTGTGGACGTCCCCCCCGGCCTCCCTCGGCGTTCCGTTTCGTCGTTGCCCGTTTATCGGACATTCTTGCTTCATGTCCGCATTGATAACAGCAATGAGGCTCTCCCGCTTCTTCGTGGCCTGACGGGCTCGCGGCCAACGGTGCAGCTCATCATTTTGGCGGCCCTTCCCCTCTATCGCAGCGTGATGCCCACGACAAAGGACATCGCACGTCAGATCATCGTGAGGATGACATCGCAATCGCTCTCTTGCACGGCTCCCCAACCGCGGCAGCTGTGCCCGACCGCCTTCCCCGTTATCGATGAGGACCCCCTCACGCACACGAGTGTCGACGGAATGCGGCTGTCTGTGTTTCTTGGCGCTCCCGGGATGACGGTCAGCCTTCAGGCGGAGTCGGTGCAGCTGGATGTGTTCGACACGTCCACACTGCAGCTCGTGCCGATACTTCAACCTTCGGCGAGTACCCTCGTTTATCGCACCGTCAAGACGGCTGCTGCCGGCTCTCCCGCTCAGCCCATACCTCTTTGGGGTGGCACTGCTGGCTGCAGCCTCGTCAAGGTTTCGTTTCCCAAGGAGACCCATGTCAGTCTGGATCCGTCGCGAGTGGCGAGGACGCTGCAGGCGTGTCGAGCCTACGCCAACATCTTGTCTTTCGACCCGCTGATGCAGCCCGATTTCGGCTCCATGGCACGTCCCTACCTACCAGTGACAGTCAGGAATGGGCTCCCTGTAGGTGTCTTCTTCCGGCAATCGGGCACTGACGATGTAGCCTTCGTCTCGTCAGGATCTGAAGCCATTCACATCTGGCGCCTGTGGCTTCCTGAGGGACAGCAGACAGCGTCGCCATCGCCGTCATTCTTCGTCGAGGGCTTCTCTCTGGTCTTCGCTCTCGATGCGGCCGGGCCGTGGTCACAAGCTGTGTTTGTGGAGAAGGTCGGGGCATCAGACCAAGAGCAGGGCAGCAGCGAAAGCCAGTGGATGGGTATGCAGCTACCTGTGATGACCCAACAGGATGTTCTCTCCAGTCTTGCAGCCCCAACCGCGTCGCCCACGCCACATGACGACGAGAGGTTTTCCCCTCCCCATCCTGGCTTCGCCGTGTGTCTGCACATCAAGCGCGTGTCGGCCTTCACTGTCGAGTGCTGCCTCTACCCTCCTGTCATACTCGTCAATCGCCTGATGGGTGTCAGCCTCCGCTTCATGCTGCAAACGTCGGCGGCCGACAGGCAGCAGAGTCGCCAGTCGACCAAGGCACCCCCGTACTCTTCTCAGCTCCCAAGAGCGGCAGGTGGGCGACTGGCGACGCGGGCGCCGGAGGAGGGGGATCCCGGGGCCGGCGAATGCGGCACCAACACAGTCGTTCAGGAGTTGCTTGGGGTATGCTTCGAAATGGCAACAAAAGGCACGGCGCGCGGGACCGAGAACAGTCTGTGCAACGGGGAGCTGTATGAGGGCATTCCTGTCGGCATCTTGCTGCCAGACAACACGACGACATCGGCCACCTTCAATGCAGTCAAGGCCTCATCTTCTGGGCAGCGATCTCGGGCGTCATCCGTGGTACCATCTGATGCGGCAAACGTCCTGCCCTCGGGCTCTCTCACTTCGATGGAAGCATGGTCCGAACGAGTCGTCGTCTCGCGTGGCACTACCATGCAGGCTTCGAGTGAGCTTCTCGTCCCCTTCTCCAGAGCCGTCTCGCCGACCTCCCACCCGCCGATCTTCGCAGTGACAAGAGCATGCCGGTACCGGAGTGCCGAGGTCGGTGCTGCTGGTGCTGCTGGCAGTGAGAAGGAGGAGGCCCGTGACGTCCCGACCATCGTGAGCGTCGAGCCAGCGTTGCGGGTCGAGAATCGGAGCCCTCTGCCGGTGTGCATCGACGTCAGTGGATTCAGGACGATAACCATGCCACCATGGAGCCTCACACAGGTAACTACGGGACACCTTAGGGAGAAGGAATACTGCAGGCGCTATAGTTGTCGGCGATGGTGCCGATCTCTGTCTGCTTGCTGTATGTTCCAGATTGGTGATCTTGACCCGCGAGCAGAGTCGAGTGTCTCCCTACGGCTGTATGCCTTTGCCCCCCTCTGGCCACACGACATCAGAGCACCCATTCCGTCTGTCTTTTACAAGCCAACGTGTCCTGTGCCCACTGGCGGCGTGGTGGATGCAGGCCAGGAGCGAGCTGAGATGGACATCGCAGACACAGTGCTGCTGGCGAGCGACCAGCCGCTGACAGTGGGGCTTGATCAGCACCTAACAAGGCAGGGTCAAGAGGGCGCAACCATGGCAGACGCAAGCGTCGTTCATCTGGCGCCGCTACGCATGTCGGAAACCTCCAAGGATGACAAGGGCAACGATACTGATGTGGCAGAGGCCACTTTGGTCCCAACCATCGAGCTGGCTCGTCACCCAATTTCCGGGCACATCTCGACCAGCGTGAGCTTCCACTGCCTGTGGCAAGTCGAGAACCTCACTGGCCTGGCCATCCATCTATGCGGAATCAACGGGAGGTGTTGTGTCATCCCGCCGTCACAGCAGCCACTCGACAGCCCATTCCTGGGACTTTTCCACGACCAGGCGACATCGTCGTTGAGGGCTTTCTTCGGCGTTGAGATCGGGGACTCACCGGATCGACAAGTGTGGACGCACTCCATCCAAACGTGCCCCGCGAATGCGACAATGCGAGTGTACATCCCTGTGGAGGCTGCCAATCTGGCGTCCCAGACCAGGGATGAAGGCAGGGCCTCCATACCCGCCGTGGACGCACCTGCACTCTGCATCGTCCTCATCGTCACCGTCAGCCGCTCTTTGGATCGCATCAGGGTCTCGTTGCGGGCTCCCCTCTACTTCCGGAACACAACGAGCTCATCCCTCGCGTGCTACCCATGCGCTTCTGAAGCAGACCCGGCGGCTGATCCGATGCTTCACCTGCTACACGAGGGCCCTGGGGGAGAGGGCTTGCAGGAATCGCTGTTTCTGCCCTCCCTGTTGCCCTTCCGAAGCCTTTCGGTCAGCACAGGCGGCCTGGAGCTGCCCTTTTGTGTTGCTGGGTCAGATCAGAAAGACAGCGATGCCTCTCTTCCCTGGTGCCTGATGACCGGCTGTCTGGCGGCTGTGCTGCACTATCTCTGTGTGACGATGTGCCACCATCACGGCAAGCTGCCGACAGAGGAGGAACTGCGCGGTGTGTCGGGGGCAGAGCAGAGGGGCATCATCGACGGTGACGAAGAGGAAAGGGAGGCTAGCAGCAGCCTGCCGAGGGACCTCGCGAGGATGATTGGGCTGTGCGTGGCTGACGTCGCCGTCGTCCCCCAGGGTGAAGGCCACCTGCTGTGTGGAGGGTGGGCCGACCCACTGGATCTGCAATTGAGGAAGGACTCGGTGTTTGGGGGAGCAGTGGAGGCCTCGCGACGTGGCGACTGGATCGCCGGCGGCATCAAGCGGGATGTCCTGCTCGGATGCGGACCTGTCATGCATGAATCTGCGTCCAGTGGCTGTGGTCTTTTGTCGCCTTTCCTTCTCAACGTCGCCTACGGCCTTCAAGCGGCGACAGGCAGCCTGTACATCGACCTCCTGCCCTCAACTCGACCGCCCATCATGGCTGTGAACCGCACGCCATTCCATCTGGCCCTGTCCCTGCCACTCTCGTGCCACCCGTCGTCACGATTCGCTGCCCCTCCCCGCGGGTGTGCTGTGTCACCCCTCACACCAGCAGTGCCAATGACCCCCTTTCTGCTCGCGCCGAGCGCCACGGGGCACTTCCCCTGCCCCGCACTGCGTAGCTTCCAGGTGTTCACTTCCCAGTCGTCTCTCGGCTGGCAGGCGCCCTCCCATTCATCAGTGCCCGGCAGACGGCAGACCAGAGACAACACCATGGCGGAGCGGGATGAGTCCCCGACCGACCATGACGTGTCGGCGGATTTGCCGTCCCCTCGGGATGGGGCGGCAAGCGGGTTTGCGGACGAGCGGCAGTCAGCAGGAGCGTATGGTGAGGGCCTGCGTGTCAACCCAACCGTCCGATCGCACCTGGGCATCCGCATCTGTGCGCTGGGGCTCCCGCCGCATGGGTCAGGCCGCTTCCGCAGCGGCACCACGAGCTCGGAGGTGGTCGGCAACTGGTCCCCATACATCTACCTGCGATCCACACAGCTTCCATCCGCCGCTGACCCAGCAGGTGCCAGCAGCCGCATTCTGGTGGCCAATTCCCATGCAGCCGCCGATGACGAGCCCAGCGCCGGCTGCATCAACGTGACTGTGGTGTACCAGGCCGCCACTTGCCTGCTCGTGTGCGAGTATGTCCCCCTGCCGCCCAAGCTGGTATGGGACGTGGCGGCCTTTGCAGCGGGGCAAACGCGGCAGAACAGTCAGAGGACACTGTCGCGGGCGTCGAGTGTGTCGTCTCAGCGGTCGGACAGCTACGAGGAGCTGCCAGACTTTGACGAGACGATTTCTCCTGAGGAGCGGCTCTCACTCTTCGTGAAGGAGAAGAGAAGACACAAGGTTGCGGAGAGGGCTGACAGCCTTCTTGACCCATTGTCGCCCACTCATCATCCAACTGAGGATGCTGCTGCTGGTGGTGGTGTTGAAGAGGGTCTGGGGAGCATGGAGAGGACATTCCAGCTGCGTCTCGATGCCGCTGACCTGGTCCTGCACCTGCTGCGCGAGAACCAGAGGGAAGAAGGTCACCTTACAGTCCACGCGACGGTACGTGTGCACGTGTGTAGGGAAGCAGCAGCAGCAGCAACGCAGATGTCGTTCGTGCCTGTTTTCAGGACCTGTGTTACATTCTGTCGAGCGAGAGGAGTTCACATGCTTTCGACGGCCTCAGCGGAACAAGAGGCCTTGATGGGACGCAGCGAGGGCAGAAGCTGCAGCGAGCGATGCATCACGTCGAATGCGGCAGACTAGGGGTAGTGCACACAAACCCACGCCCGTGGCTCATCCATTTTGATAAACAACTGTGGTTGGTGCGTGCAGGTCATGAACATGAGTGTGCAGCCAGCCCCTCCCCGTGACTTCGGCCTGGTGCTGTCGACTCCCCGCATAGCCCTCCGGCTCTCTGTCATCAGCGCCCCACTGCCCATATCGTCCTACATCGAGAGCTGCCGCGTGGAGATCACGGGCCTGCAGCGAGCCATCCTGTGGACCCCGTGGGCAGCCAACACACCAACTACGCTAGCCACTGGCGACTCAACGGGGGAAGAAAAGAGCCCGACCAACAAGGGCGGCAAGAGGGCTGCTGGTGGTGGTGGTGGGGTGACGCCATCAAACACGCCGTCGATCATCATCCGCATCGAGCAATCATTCGTCCATGCCATCGTCAGATTTGTCCACGACTGCCAGAGGTACGTCTCTGCGGAGGTTTTGGCGGCGCCATCGGCTGTGAGCCCCCAGGACGGCGATGAGGCCTCCCACCTGCGGCACCCTGTATCTTTGGAGTCCGTGGCGCGTGTGTTCCAGTACATGACGGTGAAGCACCTGTCGGTGTGCCAGCTGCCGGTGAGGATCTCGCTGCGCCTCGCCCACCCTGTGTTCGTCTCCGTGTCGGACCTGTCCCTCGTCTACCCCCGTTTCGAGCTCTTCGACGTCGTCACGCCACCAGCAGTCTTCGCCAAGGAGCTGCTCGCACACTTCCTGGCCTTCTCCATCCTCGAGTCGCCCGCTGTGCTGGGCTCGTTGGACTTCCTGGGCAACCCCAAACAGGCCTACTTGCACGTGCAGAGGGGCGTGGTTGACCTGCTGGCCAATCCGCTGGGGTACTCTGGCCTCCGGTCCTTTGTGTCCCACGTGTCGTCCGCCTCTCTCTCAGCCGTCGCGGCCGTGGCCGAGTCAGTGCGGATGAACCTGCCGATGACCACACAGGCGCAGGAGGAGGCCGAGAAACAGAGGCTCGCACACATGAGCACGCTCATGCGGGACCTGCTTGATGCGGACACTGAAGCTGGGAACGGGTCGCAATCGTCGACATCGACGGAAGGCATCTTTTCACTAGTCGGCCGCAAGCTGGTGGAAGCCGTCACGAGACCCATCAGCGGCGCTCTGGACGTCGTGTCATCCGTTTCCCGCAGCTACGCAACGCCGCTTGAGGGAGACCTGGACGAGAGGCAGCACCCTCTTACCTGTGCACTTTGTCGAGGCCCGGAGGGGCTCCGGAGCCCCTCGCCGTGGAGCCCCCCTCCCTTCAGCCCCGCCCTGCTCCAGCTGGTGCTCAACAGACATGCCGACGCCTTGCAGCAGACACCGCCGCAGCCCTTCCAGGAGTGCTTTGCCTTCGGCGGCCTCACGTCGCCGTCTGCCTCGCAGCTCGACTGGAGGGCAGGGTGTCTGGTGAGGTGGACAGCTGAGGCGCTGCTGCTGTCTGTCAGCACGGTGCCAGCTGCTGGCGTGGCGGCGACGCCCCGCATTCCGGTCCCGTCGCCTTCAGAGAGTCCCTCCCGTCCTGTGCGGGTGGTGCTGGCGCTAACTTCCACACACGTGAGGAACAAAGAAGAGGAGTGCACTCGGTCACAGCCACCGTGCATGTCTTGCCTGTGTGCAGGTCCACATTCTTCATCCGCCAGCGGAGCCCTCCCTCCCCCCCGCCACCCCTTCCCCGCCCGTCGTCCCATCCGCCTCTGCGCAGCCACCACCAATGCCGCCCAAGAGGCGTCGGCTGGTGCCTCCACGCATCACCTCCCTGCCGCTCGCCACGACGGCCATAGTGGAGGGCGGCGAGAGGGCCGCGCATATGACACAGGTGGTGCGGCCGTCCCCTGCCTTGAGGCACCTGCTGGTGCTGCACGAGGAGACATCCAGCACGCGATTCCACCTACACTTGAGGCGGCGAGATCAGCTGGCCGGCGACATTGACAGGGTCAGGAGGATCGCTGCCAGCACGCGGAAGGGCGACTGGTCCAGTCGTTGTGAATGAGGAAAGGAGCACCTGTCTGTGTGTTAGGCGTCATGTCGGTGTTTTCTGGCTGTTTTATGAGGCCGGTAATTCGCAGACAGACATTTATTTGTGTCTGGGTCTCTTTGTCAGTCGGCCTCTTGGGGCGTATGTGCTGACTGAATGGACGTTTTGTTCTTTTGCAAAAGCCCGGTCGCGAACTTCACCACTGAGTGGTGAAGTTCGGTCGCAATGTGACGTTGAGCGAGTGAGGCGAGGCGACAGATGAATGAGATGTGGTGTTGTGTACAGTGCTTGTCTGTCTATGCAGTCAGTGTCAATATTCAATCAGCTATATCGCAGATAATTACAGTAATGTCAGACACACGTGCCACACGCACCTCTCTGTCACTGCACTCCTGCCTGATCGGGTCATCCAAAAAACAATGGCCCCTGCTGCTGTACAAGCCCTCCTACCAAGCCTCCCTCCCGTCACCCCTCGCTCATTCATCTCGGCATTTCCTGTCTGTCACTCATCATATCCCCTCATTGATTCATTCAGTCGTTGTCTTGTGTGAGGAAGACGCCGTCGATCATCCAGCAGCCGCGGTGCAGGCTCAGCCGAAAGTCCACCTCCTTACGGAAGAACTCACGGTCGCTCCACGACTGGAAGTTCGGATGGTGGCCCTCCAGCACCACTCGCTGCACGCAGTGCTCCTTGTTGCTGTCGTACTGAGGCGGACCCACAAACTCAAACGTGTCGCGGTTCAGCAGCACTCGGTACTCAGAGTTGCGCAGATAGCTGCCGTACTGCGCTGGGTTGAAGTTGCTGATGATGTTGTCACGGGAGGCGTGCTTGATCGTCACTGCGGCACCGTGGTCAAGCTGCGGGTCGTCGTTGGTCTGCAGGGCGTCCAGCACCTTCTCAATCACCACCCGGGCGTCCTCGCCAGGCTGCGGCAGGTCCCCCCGCCTCTCCAGAACAACCCACTGACCAAACCACTGCTCGGGGTGCTTCTCTGGCGGCGGGAGCTGCTCCTGACCACGGCCGCCCGACGCCTCGCCTTCTCCCTCAATGGATGCTCCAAGCCTCGACGTCTGCAGGTCGCCGTCCCTCGGATCTCGCCTGCTCGGCTGGCGCAATGAATGGGACGACGGCGACAGAGATCCAGATGGCACAAACACGGGATGCCAAGCCCATGCAACGGGCAGAATAAGGGCACTGATGACACCTTTCATCTTCCGCGGACACATCGAGAGACACACAGACACAGGGAGGAAGAGAGGCAACTGCGAGCTCAGCTGGCGATCGGAAAATGAGGCGCTTTCCCCGACGGACGCAGATTGGACACACCATCTGCCCTCAGGAGCCGGGGCCTCGGTGCCCGTTTCAACGAGCAGGAGTTTTGGCTGGCGGAGAACACGAGATCTACCACGAGCCGGATTCAGCGCCAATGGGTGGTCAGCAGACATGCAAGGTGCCTAAGTGTGAGAAGTCGGTCAGCTCTGCCAGCAGTTTGTGCATCAACGGCTCAAATCTATTGGCAATGAGTACCAGCCTGTACGTCAGCCTGTCGCTTCTCAGCGTCGTCACGGCGGCTTCCTTCAGCAACGGCAATCACGGACTCCCCTCCTTCGCGCAGCTGCCAAACGTTCGGCATGATCCATCGAGAATCATCAGGCGTCGCTTTCGGCATCTCCCGCTGCCTCACGTCCAGACAATCACTGCCCCAGTTTCGGCTGATGAATCAGCCACAAAGGATGCTGCTGCAGTAGATTTCGGGCGAGTCGCAGCACTACAGCAGGCGATTGCTGATGGCACTGTGACGGCGGTGCGGACGACGCTGTCTGACTCCATCAAGAACCACTGTCGGCTTGGGGCGAGAGGCCGACGGACGCGGATCTTTGTGGGAACAGACATTCTGGAGAGGGGAGCCATTGATGAGCTGTGGGAGAGTGTGCACGTTGCCTTTCCTATCTTGAGGAAGATGGACATCCCCTCCCACCTCTATGCGGCCTATGGCGGCGGGGAGGCTGCGGTCGAAGGTGACGCTGATGTGGTTGACTCTGCTCATGCCCTCAAGTCTGTATGGTCGAAAGCACACTCACGTGGTGAGAAGCTGGGACTGCTGGTCAGGCCTGACGACAGCAAGTGGCCGCCCCCTCTCCCCGAGTGGCTCGTCGACTGCCCTGATCCGACCGAGAGTCCCACCATGACGCTCGTCTCCTTCTATCGTTTCACGCCGATAGAGGACCCGCAGTTGATGGCCGAGAGTTTCAGGAAGCTGTGGGAGCCGCTCAAGGCGCTGGGGAGGGTATATGTGGCGTCTGAGGGAGTGAATGCCCAGATGGCTGTGCCGACAAACGTCCTCTCGGCCTTTGCACGAGCCTGCAACAGCACCTCTGTCCTCGACGGCGTCCCACTAAACTGTGATGTGGCCATTCCAATGCTCGAGTATTGGGGCGACCAAGGTTCTTTCGAGAGATGGAAGGAGGAGAACCCGTCAGATGTTCACATGCAGCACGTCCCCCGCGCATTTGCACATAGCGATGACCAAAGTGACGAGAGCAGCGGGGAAGACCCGTCCCTCTCGCCGCGACGAGCGGTGCCTGGCAGGACGCGGGCGCCCTTCGAGAGGCTGCACATCCGTGTCCGCAAGCAGATTGTGGCTGACGGGTTGATGAGGCCGCTGGACTGGGGGAGGGAGACTGGGAGGGAAGTGTCCCCCGAGGAGTGGCATGAGAATGTCAATCGTTCGGATGTCCTGGTTCTCGACTGCAGGAACACGGTGAGTGAGCGGCAAGACAGCCGTGAGCATTATGGTATGGATTGTTCGGTGTTGGTGCGTAGTATGAGACGGACGTCGGCCGATTCGACACAGCCGTGCCACTCAATACGACCTACTTCCGCGAGAGCTGGGATGCGCTAAACGAGACGCTCAAGGACGTCGACAAAGAGGCGCCTATCATGATGTACTGTACTGGTGAGCGAGTCAAGAACACCAAACACATCAACCGCCTGGCACTAAGCGTCGCTCTCGCCCCCCTGCGTGTCTGTAGGTGGAATCCGCTGCGTCAAGACCGGCGCGTACCTCGTCCAAGAGCTCGGCTTCCGCAATGTGGGACGGCTTGAAGGCGGCATCATCAACTACGCCAAATACGTCAAGGGAAAAGGCCAGCCCTCACTATTCAAGGGCCGCAACTACGTGTTCGACAACCGCATGGGCGAGAACATCACCCCTGACGTGCTGGCCCAGTGCGTGCAGTGCGGGAAGCCCTGGTCGCTGCACACCAACTGTCGATATGAGCGGTGCCACGTGCGGTTCCTGCAGTGCGACGAATGTGCCGAGAAATACGGGGGATGCTGCTCACGGTAGGTGGGGGCCCGACACATGCTGATGCAGCACTCCGTTCCATCTTTATGGTGCATTCTTGTCTTGTCAGGGGCTGTCAGCGGCAGCATGAGCGGTCTCTTGTCGAGACAGACACACATGCATCATCCGACGGAGGATGGCTGGAACCGCCCTTCCAAAACGCGCAGCTCAATCGTATGTTCGATGATGCACTCGAGGCCTACGCAGAGCAGCACTCGACGAGCGAGCCCCCCCTGCTGGCCGACCTGCGGCAGCGTACAGCGGCGGAGATGCCTCATGCCCTCCGCATGCTCAGCGGGCCATTGGTTGGGCGCCTCTTGGCCACATTGTCGCGCCTTTTGCGACCGGAAAGGATACTTGAGATAGGTGAGAGAGGACCGATACACGGTTGCATGTTCCTGTTCACTTTCTTGCTCTGTGGGGTGTGCAGGGACGTTCACTGGGTACAGCGCTGTGTGTTTCGCTGAGGGCTTGGCTGATGGAGGGCAGCTGGTGACGATTGAGAGGGACGAGCGTGCCGCAGCCATCGCACGAGAGTTCTTCGACAGGTCGCCGTTTGGCCCGTCTATCGACCTGCGTGTGGGCATGGCCGCCGACGTGCTGCCTCATCTCCGGGGCCAGACATTCGACCTCGTGTTCATCGACGGCGACAAGAAGAAGTACAAGGAATATTATGACTACATCCTGGAGGAGGGAATGCTGTCGGCCAGGGGCCTGATGCTTGTGGACAATGTGCTCTGGAAAGGCGGCGTTTTGCTTTCTGATGGTGAGACGAGCGATCGGTACAATGAGTGGCTGGCCAATGAAGAAACGAGGAGAGGTCTATCGGGCGATGACAGTAGAGATGGCGAGAGAAGGGAGGCTGATTTAGTGAAGCTTAGGAAGCGTCATGAGTCGTTGTGGCGTGCCATGGATGAGTTCAATCGTCATGTGAGGGATGACCCCAGGACAGAGCAGGTCATCTTGCCTATTCGGGACGGACTCTCGGCAATAAGATTAAAGGGTTGAGTGCCACCCTCGCACCTGATTTGGTTTAGGGCACGACGTGGCCTGAAACCGCTGACGCTGAGCATGAACACAAGAAATGCACTAACTACGGCCACGAGTGCTGTCCAAGGCGAGTCAGAAGCTCCAATGGCTCGCTCAGAACCTCCCCGCAACCCATCCACAGCCACAACCATGCCGACTCCTCCCCCTCCCGAACAGCCAGCATCATCCTTCCTCACATCCAGCTTCAGCACCGCTCGCGACACTGCTACAGCCGTGCTCAACGCCCGTCGAGCCATCGGCGTCCCCCGACTCATCCGCATGTGCTATGGCGCAGACAGAAAGCCGGGCAACTTCGACGGCCTGCAGCCGCTCCCTCGCAGAGGCAGCGGCGCTCCCGGCCTGCCCACCATCCCCGAGAGCCGCGATCAGGCCGCCATCACTCAGAATGGCCTGCCACATGGCGTGAGTGAGCCGCCCTCCTTCCCAAGCGCGCCTGGGAGGGCAGGCATGCCGTCGATGCAGCAGCGAAGGCGGCCGTTTCGCGATGCGTTTAGGCAGCGTCTGTTGTGTATGGGTCCGCGGCCTGGCAAGGAGGGCGGTTTGCTGGGAGTGGACAGAGAGGGGTCGTCGGAGGCATCGACCCACAGGGTGGAAGGGGCATACTCAGGTGGGCGGTGGGAGGGAGGGAGCGAGGGAGGGAGGGAGCGAGGGAGCGAGGGAGGGAGCGAGGGAGGGAGGCACCTGTGTCTGTGTCTGTCGCATTCCACCTCTGTGTGTGTGTGTGTGTGTGTGTGTGCAGCGTTGACGGACGAGGCGCTGCTTGAGCGAGAGGAGGATTACGGCTATGACGACGAGGGCGACTTCGATGACGCCCGATCGGACTTCTACAGCCAAGGTGACTTACCTGCCCTCACTCATCAACGTCTTGTCATACGCTGTTGTGCCGCCCTTGTCGGCCGTGCAGTTGACCGTTTGTCCAACTACGACCCGACCGAGATAGCGGGCATCTTGTCGGTGTCGGCGTCGGGCTACCAGACGCCCCTCTCGGACCTCCTGCAGTTCGTGCTGGGCAACTTCGAGGAACGCAGAATGAGATTCAACACCATACAGGTGCGCCCTCGCGTGGGCAGCATGGCACGGCATTCGTTTGTGCACATCTGTCTGTGTGTTGACGTGTATGTTGTGGTCAGGGTAAGATCCGCACCGGCAATGGTGTGGCGGAGGTGCCTGCGGACTGGGACAGGACGTCTGAGATGAGGGCGCTGGCGGAGCTGCTCGTCGACACGTCACGGGCGTGCATGGTCAGTCCAGTGGCCGCACACACACGCAGACTAGTGTCGGTTGGTATGTACCTGTACTGCATGTGTGTGGATGGATGGATGGATGGACAGAATGAGGATCCCAATGTGGATTGTGCGCTGGCGTACAACCACCATGGCGTCAAGGTGTGGAAGAAGGAATTCGGTGTCGGCAGACTCCTGCTCAGAGGTACAGACAGAACGACAGACAGACAGACCCTCCTGTGTGTTTGGTGTTGATGCAGCTGAGTGGGTGGTGCCGGTGGCCCCAAAGCAGTACTGTGAGTATGCGTCGGACGTACGGTGAGGCAGTCAGTCAGTCAGTCAGTGAGCCCCAAGAGAGAGGTCCGGCCACCTCTGTGTATGTGTGTGTGTTGGTGTCGGTTCCATGATTCAGTTATCGCAAGATATGGGACAGCAACTGTGCTGAGGTGCAGCGGCTCGAGACCCTCGGCGACGGCATCGACCTCTGCTACGTCGCCACCAAACGAGTCGCAACAGTGAGCACCTGATTATACCACCCACACACACACAGACTGACAGACAGACAGACAGACGCCATCTCTTTTGGGTCCAGATTTTCCCGCGCGACACGGTGAATCTGCGCATCGTTCGTCCGCTGGACCCGTCGTCGCCCCTGGACTGCGCCTACTCGTCGTGCAGCTGCTCAATCGAACACCCTGAGATTGGCGACAGGTGCGTCACTTCACGTCAGTCAGCCCCCTGTCCCCCTCCCTGGTGTCATGCATGATATGTTCGACTGACTGACTGAGTGACAGGCCTGGCAAGGTACGTGCCGACCTTCGCATCGCTTCGTACGTCGCAAACCCACTCCCGACGCCATTCGGATGTGAGGAATGACAAACAGGCAGACAGGCAGACAGACAGACAGGGATAGGCAGCGGGGCCCAGAGCACCCCTATTTGAGCGCATCCGTTTGTCTCTCTGCGTTTGGTGTGTGGCGTCTGGCCTGTCAGTGTGGTCTCGCATATGTCTCTTCAACGAGGGCGATCCCCGTGGGTGGATCCCCGCTGCCGTCACAAAACTCCTGGCCGTCAAGGTATGGCCCCCTGGCCAGCTCACACACAGCGGCCATCTGTATATGTGTGTGTGTGTGTGTGTGTGCGTGAAGGTGGTGCCGAGTTCGGTTGAGAAGGTGACCAAGGCCATCATGGAGAAGCACACCATCGCATGGGACGGCGAAAAGGCCAGCGGGTGGGCCGCCACACAGCTCGACCAAGCAGGATTCGTCATCCCACCGTAAGCACACACCCCCCACCCCCCATCCCCACCACCAGCACCACCAACCACACACATATGCACACCACACTGGGTGCTTGTTGGTTGGTTGATGCGATGCGTGCAGTCGCCCAAAACTGCCCATTGCGGACGCGCAGCTTTTGCTGTACGAGCAGTCCCTCAGCCTCAACGCGTCACAGCAGCAGATGGACGAGGACGGCCCCACCACACCCATAGTCACCCTCGGCAAACGCCGCACGTCGTCATTCGTGTCGGCCGACGACTCACCCATACCCACCACCAACCACCCGCACACACACCCCTTCCACGCCTCTCTCCCCCACACCAGCTCACCCACGGCAGCAGCAGCGGCATCGCATGACTTTGGCTATGGGCGCATCCCCATGGCCAAGCAGATAGGGCCCATGACATGGGTGGCGGAGGCGCCGCCATCCCCCACCTCACCCACCACAGGCATGTTTGAGTATCCAGCATCATCGCCACTGACGTTGCCTGAGAAGGGCAGCAGCAGTCCAGAGGCCAGCCCGACGGCCGCTGCTGCCGCAGGCAGGGTGGCCAACTTGGCGGGGCTGAGGGCCGCCGTGTCTGCCGCACTCGGTGCGGCCGCGTCTATGTCTGCCTCTGCCTCTGCTTCTGCCTCTTCGGAACCACAGCCATCGACATCTGCCGTGGAGCTGACCCCGTCGTGGCGTCGGGTGCGGCGACAGCAGCAGGAGCCTCAGGCGGCCCAGTCGCCGTTCTTCCCTCCCCGTCCCCCCACCCCACCCGCGACACCGTTCCCCGCACCTGCACCACCTGGTGGCGATGAAGCACCGCCGGCACAGCAGCCATCGGTGCAGGTGCATCTCTCGCCGTCCAAGCGGGGCGACCTGCCGTCGATCCCACACGCTGCGTCGTCGCCCAACGTGGTGGTGCCCAAGCAGAAGCCGAAGCTCTTGCCGACCGATGGTGCTGCTGCTGCTGGTGGTCATGGTCATTGTGCGTCGTCGCCATCAAGCCCCACATTGCCGCAAGGAGGAGAGGGAGAGGCGTGGACCACCGCCACCAGCACCACCATTCGCAGCGGGTACCAGTGGCTGGTGGAGAAGGTGGGAGGCCTTCCCGCTGGCAACAACAGCAGCAGCAGCAACAGCAACAGCGAGGCGCCCGCCAATGGCCCCTCTCTGCTTGTGTTCCCCCAGGCCCCGAGCCCCAATGAGCCTGGGCAGCAGAGAGGGGGCGGGGCGGCCGATGCTGCTGCTGCTGCAGAGGCAAAGGCAGAGTAGGGCGTCCTTTCCTGCCGACCATCGAATCGATGTAGGACATACCATTTTTGACTGACTGACTAAGTGACTGAGTGAGTGATGCATAGCAGAGTGGTGGGTGCATGGTGGGCTGCATGGGCTGGTTTAAGGGTGGGTGGGTGGGGAAGACCGACCGAGTGGGCAGATTTTTCCCATTGTTTGCTGGTGGTGGGTTATGTGGTGGGTGTGCAGCATCTCTTGGGTCCGGTGTCGATAGGCTGGATGCTGTCTTTCTTCTTCTTCTCTCTCTCTCTCTCTCTTTTGCTCTCTTGCTCTACTTCTTCGAGCGGAGCAGAAGATGACCGACCAGCGAGCTCCGCTTCAGACAGAAAGAAAGACATTTTGCCCTCGACTGACTGACTGACTGACTGACTGAGACAGACGATACGGTCGCTGATGATTTGATTTGTTGTGGATAGACGCTTAATTTGCAAAGGTGGCCACCACACATCATTCAGTCATTCAGTCATTTATTTATTTATTTACTTATTCAGTCAGTCAGTCAGCACACCCACTCACGCGTCCGTCCGTTTCTACGTACGAAGGAGGAGGTTCTTCCACAGTCAATCACTCCACCCATCCGGCCATCCATCCATCCATCCATCCATTTTTGCTTCCTTGATGCGATCCATCCATCCATCCATCCCACGACAACCAACAAACACACCACACCACACACACCGACCCGACAAAAGGAGACACAGGGGGCGGGGCGAGGCCAAGACAGGACAAGAAAGATGAGATGAGATGAGAGATGAGATGATATTAGACGAGGCAGGCACGACAAATGCGTCAGGCAGTCGGTCAGTCAGTCGTAAGGGCAGCCACTCTCACACACACTCTCACTCTCACTCACAGACAAACGACACGCGGACAAAAGTAGCCGCAACCCGGCAGGCACGTGGGAGGGGGGAGAGGGGAGAGGGGAGAGAAGGGGGAAAGGGCAAAAACAAAACCAACCAGGCCAACCAACCAGCCGTCACACACTAGCAGCCCAGCCAGCCGCATTTATCTGTTTGTTTGTGTACCGTCCCCCCCCCACACATCTCCCACCTACCCACCTGGCCCCCTCTCTCTCTCCTTACACAGCCAGGCAGGCAGGCAGGCAGGGGCTCGGTCGGTCCACACCACACACCTTTAGCCATACCATACCATATCGTTAGTTATCATCGTATCAGTCAGCCAGCAGATATATATATGTCCGCTCCTCTGTACACGCCATCGCTCGCTCGCTCGCCCGCTCACCCACTCCCCCGGCCGCAACGCCCCCACCTCTCACCTCATCTCACCTCCCAGCCAGTCGGTCAGACTTCACACACACCACGATTAACGACAAACGACAGACAAGACAACAAACGAACGACAAACAACTGCACACATCACTCACACACGTGTCACTCACTGCGACGTGCAGGCGGCCATGCTGCTGCTCTGCTCTGATCTGATCTGCAATGCTATATATGGTATGGTATGGTATGCTATGGTGTGCCATGTGCTATGGTGTGGTGTGCTTTAGAAGAGGTCCTTGGGGACGTACTGAGGCATCTCTACTATCGTCTGCACACACACACACACATACGCACACACAAGGAAGAGGCAGTTAGTTCACGTGTGCCGCGCTGTACATATTGCGTGCGACACACATACCTCGACCATCACCCTGACGAAGTCGTCCACCACCTCCTTGGTCAGCGCGTAATTCGCTGTGATGCGGAAACGTGGCCTGGCCGGCCACGCCATACACACACACACACACACACACACATTCCTCATGTGTTGGTCACCGGCATATATCGCGTCCGTCAATCCATCCATCCATCACACACATAGATACCTCCTGAGGGGGCAGGCAGGCGCGCACACGGCCGAGACCATGTAGCCCTTGCGCCGCAGCTTGTCAGCGCTCAGCAGCATCCTGTCGGGGTCGTCGGGGAACACCACCGGGATCACCACCGAGTCCTCGTCGCCCTCCAACTCCCACTGCACACACACACACACACACACACCGTCTGTGTGTGTGTGGTACGTCTGTCTGTCCGTCAGTCAGTCACCTTGAGTTCGTCGGGGTATTCGGCAGGCCAGAGCCCGTTGCCAGTCTCGAGCGCGTTGCGGAGGTACTTGGCCATCTCCTGCGTCTCGGTAATCCGCCACGGCTCCGCATCGATCAACTCCAGCGCCTTCATCGCTGTCATTCATGTCATTCATTCAGCGGGAGGGACAGCACACCATCCATCCATACCATCCACATGGCATGGGTGTGTCGTGTCGGCGGTAACACATACCGGCGCCTGCGTGGTATGCGGAGCATGGCGCCGAGAAGACGTTGCCGGGGCTGTGGAAATCCAGAAACTCTATCAGGTCGCTGCACACACACACATACACACACATGGATGGATGGATGGATGAATGTTTTGTGTTGTGGTGCTGTGCTGTGCTGTGGGGGGTGTGTGTGTGTGTGTGTGGCGTACTGGCTGCCGACGATGTATCCTCCAACAGAGGCGAGGGACTGCACGGGGGATGGTTGGATGCACCACACAATCGCTCAATCACGTCTCTCTCCCTCCCGCTCTCTGTGTGTGAGTGTGTGTGTGTGTGTGTCTGTGACCGGCCCAGTGACCTTGCTGAATGTCCCACAGATGAGCGTGGCGATACCAGGCAGGCCGTAATACTCCTCCAAACCACGACCTTCACACACACACACACACAAGTCATGAGGGAGGGAGGGAGGGAGCCGCCGTGACCCACCCCACCCAGCTGTGCTGTCAGAGCTGGCTCATACCTACCGGTCTTGCCGAGGACGCCTAGTCCGTGTGCCTCATCGATGATGAGCTTCATGTCGTACTTCTGACACAGCCCCCACACCGACGGCAAATGAGCTATGTCGCCGTCCATGCTGTCAACACACACACACACACACACACACAGACAACACACAAATGCACTCATCGCGAGGGAGAGAGAGAGGGAAG